CTATAATATAGCGGCAGTATTAGGTAATAAATTTTCTCTGTTATGAAATTTTTAAAAATATTGTAATTTGATTATAAGGTTTTATTATTTTTTTTGCAAAATCATATTCTAAAAATTTTCTATCTTGATATTTTAACTAAAGTTATCCTTTTTTTCTACTTATAAATAAGATTTCATTATTAAAAATTGGTTAAAATTTCATTTTTTTTTATTTTTCTAGTTAATTAAATAAAATATTAAACATAAATTAAAAAATTTAAATTTAAATATTTCTTTTTAACTAAAAATACCTGTTATATCTTTACTTATTAATTAATAAAATATGTAATATATCAAAAATTAATAATTTCTGAAAATTAGCTTATAATTATTTCTCATGCTTTAACACAATTTGTAACATTATTGCTACTATTTTTTCAGATCCAATTTTATTTGCAATTTCATTAATCTTATTTGTAAGAAATTCTACTATATAGAAGCGTTTCCAGTAAAATCACATTACAGATCATATGATTTACTATGCTTTATGACTTGATTTTACTGGAAACGTTTTCATATAATAAATACTTGAGTAATCATGAAGAAAATAAAAATAATATTTTCAATTAGATGTTAAAATTATATAATTATATATAACCTATCAAGTACATTAAAATTAATTATGAGATTAATAAAAATTTAAAATTTAATAATTTACAAAAAATATGAACTTAATAAAAAACTTATTAAGTGTTAAATTTTCAGAATTTTTGATAATATTATTAATATTTTTATTAATTTTTACTGTTTTCTTATTTAAAAGTTTATCACTAAATAATTTATCTATAAATAATTTGTATCCTGATCTTATTTCATAAAAAAACTTAAAGAATAAATTTCTAATAACTGAAAAGAGAATTCTACAATATATAATTATATATATAGTTACTAGCGAAAAAAATGATTAATACTATTTAAATGGTATATAAAAACTTTATTATTTAAATACAATTTAATTGCTGATACTTATAAAACAATTTTTATTAATTGATATTGTGTGTAACTTTCTTCTAGATCAATATATACTTTAATCCAGTATAACATACTATCAATGTATCTAAGTAATATACTAATTTTTCAATTGCAATAATGTAAAAAAAAAACTAAATATTAGAAAATATATTTATATAATCAATGATTTTATAAATATAAAAGAATAATAGTTTTTTATTTATTAAATATTTTACTTCTAATTTTAAAATATGGATAAATAAATAAATTAATTTGCTTATTAAGAAATGAAAAAAAAATAATACTTAATACCATAATCTTATAAGAAATGAAAAAATAAATTTTTAAAAAAGGGTTACATCAAATATTAATTTGAAATTTAAAACAAAGTATTCAAAAAAGTATTGCAAATAAAAATTTCAAAATTTAGTATATTGCAATAATAAAGTAAACAAAATGTTTTATTATTATTAAAACTTTAATATTCATAACTAATCTATTACTATTTTTTTTATTAAATGAAGAATAAAAAATGTAAGATAAGACTTTAAAGAAAGTATTTATATAGTGTTTTGAAAAACATTAGTTAATTCTTCACTTCTTATTTCTTATGATCATATCTTATATAGTTTATATAAACTAATTTAATCTTTTATTAAATGATGATAATAATCAAGAAAATGAAAGGAAGATAAAAGTAAGAAAGAATGTGAGAAAGAAAAAAGACGAATAAATGAATAAAGAGGAAGATAAAGAGGAAAATAAAAGAAAAATAAAGGAAGTAATAGAAGTAGTATGTAATAACAATTGTTGCAATTTACAATTAAATAAATACATGATTTAAAAACTATAAGATTAGTTGAATTAAGAAAACAAATATTAGATTTTTATTAATTAGTAATTAAGATAAATATTAAGACAAATAAATAAAAATTAAGATAAATTAAGATAATTAAGATAAAAATTAAATTAAATAAATTTCATTTTAATATATTAATAAATTATAATGCTTCATTATTGTAAATTATTTTCAAATTAGTAAATCAAAATTACTAATTCTGAATTGACTTATTAGATCAATTAAATTTTTGAATTATGATCCAGTATATTTGTGATTCAAAAATCAGTTTTTTAGGATTGAGAACAGATTGGACCAATTCAACTTTACATTATCTGTTACATTTTGTTTTTTAATTTTAAATTTTTATTTAAACTTTAAATGCTAATAGTTTTATAATAAAAAAATAATTTAAGTTTGTACTGTATATATAAATAATTTAATTTTTCTTTTAAATTAATTTTAAATCAAAATTCAATTTTAATTTATAATTGATTTGTACTTTGAAACCAGTCTTAAAATAAAAACTGATTAACTAAAAAAAGGCTAAAATCAAGTTGCATAGTACAATCTAATTTTAAACCAGTTTTAGTTTTAGTTTTATAACTGTTCTTGAAGTATTATATATAATATCAAATTTAATATTTAAAAACTTTTAGTTGGAATTTATATATATTATTACTAAAAATAATTATTTATTTTATAATTTTTTTTCTATTAATTTATTTTATTTTGTAATTTTTATTTATTATATTAAACTTTTTTTAACATTAATTAATATTAACATATATATTAAAAGTTTTCTTAATTTTTATAATAACATCTAAACAAAATGATTTTTTTAAAAATTTTTTCTAAATCTTATTAATATTTATTATATTATTTAGACTTTTATAATAGTATTTAATATTTATAAAACTTATATAAATAAATTTTATAATTATTATAGAAGAAAATTTAAATAATTGAAAAGAGAAAAAAAAAAGACAATTAATTTACTTAAATAAATTTATATTTGTTACATAAATGTGTTAATGTTTATGCAAAATAATAAATTATGAAATTTATAAATATTTATATTATATAATAAATACAATTTAATAAAATTATAAATTATATTTTTTATCACTAATTCAAAAAATATTTATTATATATAATTTATAAATTAACATAATTAATTTAAATATTAGGATCTAAATAAATTAAAAGATATAAATTTTAATAAATTAATTTAAATATGAACTAAATATTATTTTTTAACCAAATTGATAAATTTGATGTATTATTTTCTTTTTGTTTAAAATCAAAATTATTAAATTATATTTAATAAAACTTTCTAATTAAAATTATTATTGTTTTTTACTCTAATAAGACATTTAGAATGTTATTCATTAAAATTATGCAATTATTATACTGTACATTATCCATGATGATTTCTGTTCAAAATTTTTGAGATACTTCAAACCTAAAGTATGTTATATATATTTGAATTATTTATTTAGCATAACTGAGAAAGAAAATCTAAATAGAATCACATGTTTCAAATAGTATAATTAAAAACCCTTTATATAGTATTTAAAGTGAGGTTTCTTTTCTTTTTTTTTTTTTTTTTTTACTATTATAGTCATTATTTTATTTATATTTATACTAAAAAAAAGACCTAACATATTCTATTTAAATCTAAAAATTTGACAGAAAAACTTTGTAATTACTAAAATATATATATATATAAAATAAACTAAATATAGGTTTGAAAATACTTAATAATTACGATTAGTAATTCTTGAAAAAAAAATTAGAATCAATCTTCGTAAAGGGGTAAGCCATCAATCAATCACGATAGGTGTAGAGGTTAAAGATGAGGGACGAAACCCAAAAAAAGCTATTAATAAACAGCCGTAATTGTATTAAAACATTTTGAGGGGTACGACGAAACCCGAAATTAACCGAAACTATATTAAAAACATAATAAGGGGTATGACGAAATTATTTTAAGGGACTTTCGGCGAGCATCTTTAGTAGAGGTTAAACATCCTTATAAAAAATATGTTTCAGAGATTCAGAAAGAAATTGTTTACCATTCATGAGGGATTATAAAACAAATAATTATTAATCAGGATCGTTTCAATAAAAGAATTATTAGTATGAGGAAAAGGAAAATTTAATTAAACGCGTAAATTAAAGATTTTCTGTATAACTTTAATACTTACAATCATCCAATAATCTTCTAAAGATGGAATTAAAACCTAAATTCAACACGAAATAAAAAAAAATAGATTATAAAAATGTGAAATTTTAAACAAAATGACAAATATTTGTACAGTACATAATAAATATAAATTTCAATCATTAATTTTACCACGATAAAAAAAATTAAACACAACATAAATTATGAGATTTGTGATTTTATTTGCATTCAAACTTAAAGACACACAAATTTCAATTAAATTAAACCTGCAGCAAAATTTGATTGATTTTATCCTAAAAGGTCTTAAAGATATCATTAAACGATAAACAAATTCACGCTTTCTCCGAGTAATCAACCAAATATGCGAGATGAGCTGTGCAAGAAAATAGAATTATGGAATTTCCTTTCTCGTCGTTATTTCTCTTTTTTTTTTTTTTTTTGTTTATATTGCATTAAAACAAACTAGACTCTAATCAGCACAGAATTTCAATATTAGGAATAAATAAATCCATTATCGGATATTTCTCTTCGGGGAATTATCGAATTATTTAAATATCACGTGTTCCTTATCAAAAATGAAAATTCAGCTAGTTTTAAATCTTGATAGACTGCGGGGAATTCGTTATCGTTTGTGAAACGCTGATAACGCGGATGATATCATTGTGATTTGTACGATTACTGTTTTGGTACCGGAAAATAGTTTAAAGTCAACTGAGAATTGATTGACATGGCCAAATCCTTATAAGGTCAAGACCTTTTTTCTTCCAGCTACAATAAATTTTTAGATTTTCTTTTTTTGGGCTTCAATTTATAAACATCGCGCAGATTTATCGAGTAATCATCTGCACGCTTAAACTGAACACAACATTTTATTGCATTGTAAAGGGGAAATTAGGTTTTATGTATGAAATCGATTGATGATCATCTCGCGAATTTGCATGACTTGCCTGAATTTACCTAACTTGAATCGCGTAACAGCGTAAAATGTACGAACATCTCACAGTTATCGGCAAGGGAACCCGATATCACTCGGGTGAATTCTCCTTGTAAATAAAATCCAAACCATGAACGAATTTGAGCGTTCCTCTTCAGATGTATCACGCCATAGATTCAATCAATATTTCGAACAACGTGGGAACATATTCGGCTGCATCCGTTCCTTCTACACAAATAAATTCATTCATAGTGCATGAGATTTATTTAGGAAAGAATAATAGGGCGCTTAATTTTCGTTGTGTATCATGAAATGACAAAGAAAACTCGAGTCATGAAAAATATTGTGCTAATCAATTTAAGTTGTGACTGTGAATAAAATATATACTAAACTTAATTGAAATTGGGAAGTTACATAGATAACGATAACGTCAAAAGATCAAAATTTTAATAAAAATTACGCGCGATAATGCGCGTCGATCATGACAAAAAAAAAATAATCCATCAGTAACAATTAGTGAAGATAAGTGATCGCGTTATTATTGGTCAATTAAACGATCTGCAATTCGAATATTTTGTTTTAAAACGATTTATTTAATATTACATTTAAAAAAAATTTTTTTTCTGTTTTAATTTCCGCAATTTCCGTAGATGAAGCTTTTTATGGTTCATTGTTGGGTAAATCAATGATTTTCCATTCTTTAGATCACACTCGCGCCTACAATTACCGAAATATCGGAACAGATAATTTAAAGATAATTTTGATTATCTTTTGACATGAATATGTCAAGGGAAACTTTTACCATTTTGGTTGAAATGTTTAACTTAAAGCTTCTAGAATATATATCTTTTTTAACGAAACAATGATATACGCAATCGGGATATACATTCACGCGTGAGAATAATAAAGAATTTTTAATTCCAAGCAGGTATTCAACACGTTATGAAGAGTTAAAATTATCTTTCTTTTTCCCACCTTGTTTTGTTTTCAATTTCTTTTCTGAACGTATTTCTTTGTGTCACAAAAATTAAATAAGGAATACTATAAAATCGGCTGATGAGCAAATTAATTTAAAAAAAAAATCGTCGTTTTGCTACTCAGAGAAATCTCTCGGTTTATCAGACAATGAGCAAATAACAAAATCATCAAATCTTTCGTATCAAGCGGACAAATCCGAAATTCAGACAAAGAAAAATTCTGGAAAGGCTTCCTAGATTTGGAGTTTCTGGGGTTTTTTTTTTGTATTTTTATTACCTTTCTTGGAATTTGAATAAATGTTGTCTACAAAGATACTATTTAAAAATCATCAATAGCTAAATAGATAAAAAGCAGTGTTGCCTTTATGTGCATATTTTTTTTCATTGAGTGAGAATAATAGAATAATAATTACTAAAGAAGGAAATTCATATTCCTTAGTTCCTTTTGAACGCAGATTGCTTATCTATCCAAATTAGAGAATATTCGGCAAAATCCGTCTTTTTTTTTCTATAATAATAATCTATGTATTAACACCATATGTTATATATTGTATAACTGTGTAATGGTACCCCATTTAATAACCGTCTCTCCAAAAGAAATTGGCTCTTGTCAATGAAATATTTCTCGTATCCAAAGCTCGCTTATTTCATATTCACTATTTACAATAATAATCTCAAACAAAATAATTGTGAATAGAAAAAGAATACTAAACCGTTCGGAAATATACGGGAAAAGTTACTTGAAAGATAGTAAACAAATATTGTATTTATTTACATTCTTTTAGGAGTAAAAATAAATAAACATGTTTGATAAGAAAAAAATTCCTTTAAATAGTTAGAAAATGATGTGCAAAAGGCATTTTGTAAAAAAAAATTTTTGAATTTTGCACGGGCAAATTTAGTACCTTGTAAATCATGTTTGATTTTGGTTAGTTCGAAATCATATTTGATTTGGCGATAATAAACCTATCAAAACAGGGTAATATTATCTTTCTATAGTAATATGAACAAATTCGACAAAAAAAAATCAAAAAAGTAGGAATTTATATCTTGCATAAAACAAACAAGGTAAAGAAGTATGATGATGTATTTTTTTTTTTTAGATAAAACAGGATTTTATTATAAACTTTTATACATATACATGAAAAAAAGTGCGTTTTTAATTTCTCGATTCTTACAAAAACGTATGATCGACTTGCGGGGTTTTCGGATGGATTGGCACATGTTTCCGAAATAAGACTAAATCAACCGACATTTGCCACATATTTCTCTGAATTAGGTTTATCAATAATTGTGGTGTTGTTGGTTAAACTTCGTTATCGATAATTTCTCAGGAATCAAATTACAATGAATATCTCTTTTGGATCCTTTGCAGTATCTTGACATCCGTTCCTTTAATTGAAATAAAAACGATAATTATACATACACATCCTCAATTTTTTTCATTGCGATAAAACTTCAAGAAGCGATAAGCTAAATCCGGCATGAGCATAATCGTTCTTTAAAAAAAGTTTTTGACGAAATGTAACGATATGATAACGATGGCCAATAGGGTAAATTCCGTTCGCTGTTTGTTAGATTTGAGTGACATTTATCGATTTTTCTACCTACCGATTGCTTTTGCTTAATTGTTTAATTGTTTACACATTTTTCTCACCCTTGGAGGCTTTCTGTTAACCAAAAGTTCTTTTCATAAATATTCCTACAAATCCATAAAAATAATCTTGAAATTATAAAGTTTGTCAGTTTTAAAAAACGATGTAAAATAAAATTTACTGTATACAGTTAACTTTCCTTATCAGTAATCTATCCCGCCCATACCATCAAGTTACACTGCAAAGAAAAAAAAAGATCTTTTTCACACATCACGGTTTTCGCCATCTATTACCCAACCTCATTACTTTAAAAAACTTTTTTTATATATATGCCCATCATTCAATTTAAACTTTATTTTTATTTATATTATATTATATTCAATAAAAATATGTAAAATTGGAATATACCATATTTTATTTCTAATCTATGATAACTAACAAAAAGATATAAATAAGCACCATATCTCATATCCTTTCTTCCAACCAACAATTCAACTTTTTTGGTTTTAAAAAAAAATTACGATCTTTCACCTTTTTTTTTTTGTAAAAAAAAAAGAATAATTAATAATTTAATCTGAGGGAAAAAAAAAACCCCTTTTACGAGATACCATCGAATAATAAAACAAAATGGCTGACCCTACTACACCACCCCCTACTGTAGAGGATCTTGCTAAGAAAATAGAAGACATAGAGCATCAAGGAGATGTTGCTTGGGTTCTCATGTCAACCGCTCTAGTATTTCTCATGATTCCTGGTGTTGGATATTTCTATTCTGGAATGGCAAGGAGTAAAAATGCTTTATCCCTAATCATGCTTAGCTGTTTGTCCGTCGCTGTTGTTATGGTTCAGGTACATTCACTTTTTTATTTTTTAAAAGTTTTCAATTTTTTTCTTCATAAAATTAAAAATAATTTTTGTTCATGATTTTTTTTGATAAAATGTTTAGTGGTGGGCCATTGGATTTAGTTTAGCATTCGGAGAAAGCAAAAGTCATTTCATCGGAAACTTACAACATGCCTTCTTCATGGGTGTCGGAAAAGAACCACTAAACGGTGTTGTTAACCTTCCAGGAATTGTTTTTGCCTTATATCAAGGAATGTTTGCAGGCATCACTCCCGCTCTAGCTATTGGATCGGCCGCAGAAAGAGGACGTATTGTACCTGCAATCTTATTCATCTTTATCTGGTCAACATTAGTATATGACCCAATCGCTTGTTGGACTTGGAACGTTGAAGGATGGTCTGCAAAGATGGGAGGATTAGATTTCGCAGGAGGAACGCCCGTCCATATTGCTTCCGGGGCTGCAGCCCTTGCTTATTGTATTATTCTTGGAAAGAGGCATGGTCATGGGACCGATGAGTTCAAACCACATAACGTTGCCAATGTTGTACTTGGAACTGCTTTGCTTTGGTTTGGATGGTTTGGTTTTAACGGTGGTTCAGCTTATGGAGCTAACGCACGTGCCGGCATGGCCGCAACCGTCACATCTTTGTCAGCAGCTGTTGGTGGTTTAACTTGGGTTTTAATGGATTATAGACTCGAAAGAAAATTGTCGGCTCTTGGTTTCTGTTCCGGAGCTGTTGCAGGACTTGTGTCGATCACTCCAGGTTCAGGTTTTGTTGGTCCTGCACCTGCCGTCGCTTTTGGATTCTTGGGTGGTTTTTGTTGCAACTTTGCTGTCAAAATAAAGCATATCTTTGATTTTGATGACGCATTGGATGTTTTCGCTGTTCATGGCGTTGGTGGTATCGTTGGAAATCTTCTCACTGGTATTTTCGCTCAACAATCCGTCATTATTCTTGATGGTCAAGAATTACCCGGAGGTTGGTTAAATGGAAATTGGGTTCAATTAGGTTATCAAGCTGCTGATTCGTTGGCTGGATTGCTTTACTCTTTTGTTGTGACATTTATAATCTTATTTTTGATGGACAAAGTCCCTGGACTTTCTCTTCGAGCTGATCCAGAATCAGAAGCCAGAGGGTTGGATGAAACTGAATTGGGAGAATTAGCTTATTATCATGTCGACAGGCTTATTTCTGTAAATACTCGGACCGGTGAAACAAAAACGGTCAAAGAAGAGACGATTCATCAACAAAATGACACAAATGCAACAATTGTATAGAGCGATAAAACAAAAAAAAAACATTTTTTTTTTCGTTTAAATTATTTTAATCTTTATAGCATATTTTATTTCACCAAAAAAAAAAGAGAAGAGTATTATAACACCACATAAATCATAAAATACATATCATTTCAAAAAAAAAAAAAAAAAAAAAAAAAAGGGCGGGAAAACCAGATTTGCATTTCTAGATTTTTTATTTTCACGAATGGGCTTGTTTTTTTTAAAAAAAAATCCTTAGTTTTTTATATTGTTGAACCATAATCACCAAATATTTGTATTTATATTATATTTATATATGTTGTATATTCCCTTTCTTTATAATATAAAATTTTATTCTATTTTTTTTTTTTTTTGGTTTATATATGGAGGGAAAGTCGTTTTATAATTTGGTTTTAATGGTTTGCTTTTGATTAGGTGGGATGGTGTTAATTTGTAACATCAAATAAAATGAACAGTTAGTAAACGCGTACAACTTGTCGGGTGTGGTTTTTTAGCATAAAAGAAAAAGTTTCCAAAAAAAGTAAATAAAAAATAAAGATACCAATGAGTGGTATAAATTTCAAAAGCCAAAATATATATATAATGAAAATGTCAAAAACAATTTTTTATTGAATAAATAAATGAAATTATTGGCAAATGCGCCCATTCAAACATTAACTTTAAGCAGTCCACCAAATTGAAGCAGAGTTTTTTCAAATAGGCTGGTACGACTTCCAATTTCCTATTATCATTGATTCCATTACAAGAACGTGTAAAATCCTCTAATAACTTAAAGTTCAAAATACTGTTGCATTATCTTTTTAGTGAATAAAATTGCGACACGAATGATTATACAAAATTGAATGTAATAATCTAAAAAGAAGACCCATGGTGGATAAATTTAATACAACGCGTTTACGTCGATTTTGTCGATTTTGCTGATTTTGCTATGGTTGTTGATATTTAATTAGATTTAGGTACATTTTAGTTTCGCATCAATTTCACATACCTTCTATAAATTTTTTATGGGATATCCTCATTTGTCTGTGATCTGTTCTGTTAAAACTATAAAAGTGATACCTATTCATCTGCATTTTTGATTCGTGAAAGTAGAACTAGAAGCAGATAAGTTCATTAGATATTAGATTAGTCAAATATCTAAATCTTCACATACCATTAAATTTTCCTTAGAGGGCTTTTCATGATTTTCAGCTGATGATTCTTTAAATGAGCTCAAATATTCTTCATTATAGAAAATTTTAAGGCATAAATTTAATACACCCTCTGAAGAATTATTACAGATAATATCATCTTGTACAAGTTCCATTTTTTCAGTGCAAACTTTGAAGCTGATGTGTGGTTCGATGATAAGATGAATACTTTTTTCGTCATTATTGAGAAAGAGATCAAAGACATCAATATCATTAGCAACTTTCATTTCTAAGCCTTCAACATCTTCCTTGATATTATTAATTTTGTCAGTAACGAGTTTGGCTAACTTTATATTCATTCTGTTGAAAGGAATATCAACTTTCCACAGCTTGAATGAAAGATCGTCAAACCAATGCTCTTTCTTGATAACCTCTTTGAGGCTCTCAACAGTTCCTTCCCTTTTTAATATTGATTTTAAAAATTTTATTTAAGGGTTTCACTTACATCCAAACGGTTTAAAGTAACATTCATATTTTTAAATATTAAGTAAAATTGTTCAGCCGAAAATATGTGTAAAAATCTGATTAGAATAATTACCACAATTTATGTTAAAAATTTATATATAATTTAGATATAATTGATCCTAAATCCAAATAAAGCACAGCTGTCAAAGATACTACAGTCAACTCTCTATAAATGCACCCCACTTGGGACTGAACAAAAGTGTGCATTTATACAGGGTGTGCATTTATAGAAAAGTATAAATTTTATATTACAAAAGTATAAAAAATTATTTATTATAAGATAATAAACTAAAAATATTATTTTTTTTGTAAAATTTAAACATGTAAAAATTATATTATTAAAATTAAATTAAATAAAAAATTTTTTTTTGAACAAAAAGTTTCTAAGTAAAATAAGTATAAAATTAAAGATTTTATACATTTTTTTAAAAAAGACTTAAATATCCCGCCTTCCATCCCCCCAACCACCCCACCCACCTTCTGATTTCAACTTTCTTATATTGTTTTTTTAAATTACCACAAACCATCTTCCTGCTGTAATAAAAATGTATGCACACTTTTTAAACTCTTTAATGCTATGCTTGCACTAATAATTTCTGTTTCCATACTATCATCCATTTCATCTTCGTCCAAATCATCAATATTATCATCAGATTTTTTTTTTTAAAATTTTCTATTAATTCTGCAATCATTTGATCATCTTTAGGAATTTCGTAAATAATATCTTCTTCAGGAATATTAAGAAATTCTCTTGGTTCCATTAAATTAGGAAGATTAAGATTTTCAAGCATTCTAGATATCTCATTGAATACTAAATCATCATTAGATTCATTATCATATTCACCATCACTAATGCTAATATCAGTATCTTCAGATTCAGCATCATCTAAAAGAATTTTAGTATGACGTTAACAATTACAAATTGTTTCATTTGTAACATCTTTCCAACTTTGAATGATATATTGAATTGCAAGCAATACATTCATTTTTAAATCTTGAATAAATTCACCAGATTCAATTTGTTTTAATATTTAACTAAAAATTAATACAATTAAATAATAATTTCTATGATCAAATAAATACTATTTAAATAATAAATACTTAATTAAATAAATGCTTACTGGATATGATAATAATGATAATGTTTTTTAAAGAACATAATAATTCCAGAATCCATAGGTTGAATTTTTGATATAATATTCAGAGGTAAAAAATGAACATTTACATTTACAAGATCTAAGCCTTCTAGCTTATGACTGGCATAATTATCAAAAAGTAATAAAACGCGTTGACCTCTATGTTTAGACCAACTTGATAATCAAAATCTTAAAGCTAATCTTGAAAGGTGATTGTAAGCATCCATGATTTTTTGTTATTTCGATATGTTATAGACAAATTTCATATATTAATATTTTTAAAACATCGTGAATTTGTATATTTTCTGATTATTAGGGAAGATAGTTTATGAAATCCATTAGCATTTGTACATAAAGCTATAGAAAGGCGTTTTTTATTCTTTTTACATCCAGAAAGACGTCTTGTAGCTAGTGTTCAATCAGATTCTAATCTGTAAAAAATAAACAGATATCAATTATTGATTATACAAATCAAATGATAATTTATGCAATAAATATATAATACATATCGATAAAAAAAGTCCAGTTTCGTTCATATTATATATTCGTTTAAGAGGATATTCAGTACATTTTGCACATAATATTGGTAAAGCTTCAAGAATAGCAGTTTAATAAGCAGACCCTGCTTCTCCTTATAATTTTTGTTGGCAAATTCCAATATATTTTTAAAACCTTGCAGCCATCCATTAGAAAATTGCAACCCATCTTCAGAAACCCTTAATCTATTTGCTAATAATTTAGCTTTTTTAATTAAAATTGTATCACTTAAAATCACTCAATATTGATAATTTAGTACAAATTTCTTAAGAGCAAGTTCAAGTTCAGGAAAAGTAACAGATTTATGACATTTTTACTCTGGATGAATAATTTCAGTAGAAAGTCATTTTTTCTTTGTTTGTAAAATTTGAGTTATTGTACTTTTATTAACTATAACTTCCCATTTCTGTTCAATCAATTTACATAATGATTATAAGTTTTTTTATTATTATTAATATAAAGATAAAGTTCATATTTTTGAGTATCAGTTAGTGTAATTTTTTTTAGAATGCATATTGAAAACTGTAATGTTACTATGACCGCAATGTATTATTATATATAAAATTATTTTATTTCACTAAGAATCTATATTAACTTTATTAGCTAATTTACTTAAAAGTTGATTTTTTTATTAGAAAATTTACTTTACAATTTATTTTAAAGGAAATTTATCATATATAACTTATATTAAAATTGCACAAAATCATATAAATGCATTTATATAAAAATTTTTATATAGACAGAATCAAAAAAATTATTGCATTGTGTATAGAAAGAGTGTACATTTAGTATTAATTTTCCAACTACTTTACTGAAACCTCTGATTTAGCAATTTTAATGCCGCTATCATGTGACTATTATGTAATTAAATGATCACATGCTAATAGCATTTTTTTTGTTTTAACCGTCTAATTTCTACCTTATTGCTTCATGTCGACTATGTAGATGTGATAATAAATTTTATTTATTTTAACAATCATGATTTTTAAAAATTTGAATGTATTTTTTTTTGTTAATGTGACAGTAAATAAAGTATTTCATTAATTTTGTGATTATATAATATATAAAAAAAATAAAGTTTCATATTTAAAATAACCTAAATTGATAAATAATATATTTTGAGTGGTATTGGTATATCAGTTCTCTTGGTAATCTGATATTTAAAATATAATTATTTGTTAATATGTATTATATAAATAGCCACAAAAATTTTACTTAGCAGATATTCACTAGACTGGAAAAATGTAATATTAGATTTCATTGTGTATATAGTCATCTAAAAAATTGACTTAAAGAAATATCTCGCATAAAATAAATGGTTGTAAAAGAATGAATAGATGTAATTTTAACAATTGTTTATTGGTGATAATGTATAAAATAAGATAATATTTTGCAAAGTTCACAAAAAATAAATATTTTCACACAGAACAAATAAAATAAAAAAATATAAAGTTAAATACTCTTTGTATTATAACTAGCGATCTATTGCTCATTATTACCTAACGAAAGCCTTGAGATAATGTTTTTGCCAGATTTACTTGGCACTTTATAACCAATTGTAATATTATCAAATTCCTTGATAGCTTTTACATTGTATTTAGTATAATGCACTATAAATGCCTCTCTAGTAAATAATATAAGGCGTTCTATAGTACCGCATTTTTTAAGCTTGGTCCTGTCAGTTTTAATTAAATATCTGTATAATATTTGCTCAATAACAACCTCTTGGGATATAAATTCTTCAATTTCTGTCTTTGTTAGTATAATAATATTTAATCCTTCCTTCCCTTGACCGTCTTTCTTTTAACTTATTAACTTTCATCGCAATTTTTTTATTAAATTTATTATAGAAGTCTGTTAAAACCCATTTAGAGTGGCAAATGACCTCTTCTACATCATTACTACAGAGGTCATAATTGAATATCTTTTTTACAAGATTTTCAATAGCTTTATCCAGTGGCACTCTGCACCTAAGAAAAAGAAACTTTATTTCTTTATGCCAAAGTCGAGCAAGTGCTTTTTTTTCTTGTAGTAGTGCAAATTTCGTAATTTGTAAGATTACAGTAGTCATATTTATAACAGAAGACGAATCTAACAATGTATTCAAAGCATGATACATCTGATTTGCCATTATTAATATGTCTGGCCTTTTATTATTAGCTACTGGTAAACTTTGAAAGCATTTATCATTTCTCTAAATGCTTTGGGTTTCCCTAAAATCAATCAAATACTTTAATAAATGACTTTAAAGACTTAAAGTCAATAATAATGATAATTACCTGTTTTACTACTCAAACGTTTGGCAACTTGCTCATCATTATCAAGGTCTTCGTAAATAGCATGATTTTTCATTTATTATTAGCTATTGTTATTTTTGTTTTTTCTTCGTAATAATGATCTAATTATTTTAAATATTTTTACATAAATATAAAGCATAATACACAAAGCATGTATCCTTTATGTATTTACTAGTTTTTTCTTCACTGTCTATTAATTGTAACAGTTCTGTGATACAGGTTCCTTCGGTAGGCAGACTACGTTTCATGAATGCATATGATGACATACTGCCTGCAGCATTAAAATGTTCAGAGTCTTCGAACCTTGATTTGTTAATAAATTCTTATAAAATTGTAGAATATTAATAAAAAATAATGATAAAGAAATTAGTTTCAATAAAAAAAAGCATATTAAACCTTTGCATTTTAATTATATTTCTCACTTGCAGAAACCATCAACATGTCATTTTTATTTTCGTCATCATTATCATAATTGTTATCATTATCATGATTTTTTGGTGTAGTAGATCGCATCAGCTTTATAGGAGTCGTCAAAATTGAAATAGTTGAAATTGGTCTAATAACTTGCTTTCTTTTTTCACAACATTTATTAGAGAAAGTGACGATAGTAGACGTTTCCATAATTATTTCTTCTCTTCTACTACTCTTTGCTTCATTAGTTTCATATGAATCAATTTGGGAAGTCATAAGCATAGTAATAGACTTCATAACAGTTTTTCCACTACTTTGACTAACTTTTCTGTAATCACCTTTTTCACGACCTCCTAAATATAATTAAATATTATTATAGGTGATTTTAAATGAATATAAAATAAATTACTAACCTTCTGTTCCTGTTTTTCCTCTACCACAACCACAACTACAATCACAGCCTCAGCTTCGACCAACTAAAAAATAAATAAAAATTAATATAACAAAGAATTAATATTAAAATCTAATATTTCATCACCTGTTGCGATTATTTGTTCTTTCATTAAAGTATCAGGTTCGATATTCTGATTTTCATTGTCATAATTATCTGGTTAAATAAAAACATTTTTAATTTATTGACACTCATAAAATTATACATCAGAAAGCTTGCCTTCGCATTATTACCTGTCAAATTCTTTGTTGTTTGTGTTTTTACTATTTTTGATAGTTTTTATATTATAATAAAACAATAGTTTTTTGTTAAATAAAGATAAAATAGTCGTTAGCCACTATTTAACCTTTTTTATATTTAGATTAATTATATAATAAAATAATACTAACCAGCTTGCATTCCTGATTTATCAATCATATAGTTATAATTAAATATTTTATTCCCATGCTTATTTTAGCATGTATTAAAAACTGTAGTTAATATGTAAATAAAAAAATACATATTAGTAATAAAATTAAATCCCACATGTTGAATTTTTTTTTTGTAACTTAATAGTATAATTGGATAATAATTAAGTCATTAAACTGGTTAGCTTCTATATGAGCAGAATTTGTTTTTGTATAACGATTTATAAAATAATTTTCTATAAATAAATTTTCTCAGGATCATCTGATAAATTATTTGTGTAGTCTGTGCGTATTATGCATGATTTATTAATTATTTGCTAGATAATACCATTTTTGATAAAATAAGATCTGTATAATTAGTAATCTAGAATAAATAAGCATTAGTTGATTACGCTATACTAAATAAAATAGACTATTATTGTAACGCTAAATATATAAATCAAATAAACTTTTAAAAAAAATAACTTTCTATTTAACATTATGAAAAAAAATTTTTAATTTTTTAAATTTGAAAAATACGCAAACATCGTCTTTCATCATTTAAACCATTTTCTTTATAAAAAAACTCAAATTATTATAGCCGCAATATTCTCCAAAAACATAAATAAATAATTTCAACTAAAATGGGTAAGTTAGTGATACCTGACTAAACTCTTTTTTGAAAAATTGTAATTTCGTCAAAAGTTTCGTCTCTATAATATTTTTATATGAATAAATATAAAATTATTAATTTTTTAATGTATTTTAATTCAAGGAATTTAGATCAAGTTAAATATAATTTCGGCAATTAAGTAAAATAATTTCGTCATTAATAAAAAACTAGTTTTGTCATTTCAGTTTCATCAATTTCGTTATATTAAGAAAGGCAATTTCATCAGGTATTACTAGGGTAAGTGAATAATATATATAATAAAACTGTTAATAACAATTACAATGTATTATATCGAATGCCTTTATATTTATAGTAGAAAATGATGAGAATGAAGATAACAAGCATTATGATCATGATAGTGATAATGATGAGGATGATAATAATATATATAAGGATGAAATAGAAGATACAATAGAAAATATTGATGAGGATGTGTATGATTGCAATGATGATAATGATACAGATAAGAATGAAATAGATGATACAGTGGAAAATAATTTTGGAGAAGATGATCATAATAAGAATGATGAAGAAGAAGACATGTATGAAGATGAATATTTTGAAGATTCGATAGTTGACAAATCAATAGATTACGATAAAATGTCAAATATAAATGAAAACTTTGCCCCTTACTTTGAAAATACAACTTCTATATTATTATTTTGCTGAATGCAAAAGTATAATATATGTAAGTGAAAGTTGTTAAATTTAATCTATTTATTATTACATTAATTAAAAATATTATATATTTATAGCAACAAGTGCATATGATGATCTAGTGGAAATTTTGTAACATTCAGCTTTTAATGTAAAAGATGTTATAAAAAATGTGAGAAGATTTTAGCAATGAAAACATCAATTACCATTAATACCAATAAGGGCATACAATATTAAAATTAATCAAAAGAAGACTCCATTCACATCTAAAAAAATAAGGCCAGTTATTATTTATCTATTTTTGATATCATCTGGAATATTCTAAATAACCGATCACTATACGATACGTTATACTTCAGACCAGAAATTGATGTTGAAGCCAAAAAAGAATATTAGCATAGTGATCTTTAGGCAGAATCATCATTATTCGGCTAAGATAAAATAATTATTAATCAAGGTATTATTGATTATGAATAAATTATTATTCGTATATTTTATTGATTTTAATGAATATATTTCATTCTAATTTTTAATGATTATAATAGAATTCTATCATCCTGGTGAATTCATCATATATAGAGAAGATAATAATCAAAGTCTTGGATAAATACTATTAATTATTTCCATTAATAATGAAATTTGAATAAAAATACAAAGGATTTATATATATAATGAATTACCAAACCATTTTCATAGTAATATTCATTTGAAAAAACAAGAATCGCAATTGTAGTTGGTAGATTAGTATTTAGAAGAGGGCAACATTATCATAGATATGAACAAAGTTATTCAAAAATTAACATAACAATTGTTCACAATTCAAATATTACTAATAGCCTTGATATTAAAGAAATTTTATATAAAAATTATGGACGTTGAAAATTGCGTAATGTAAATCTTGACTATATGCATTTGTATGAATATTCAACTTTCAGTATACCACCATTATAATACAATAATCTTCAGGTTCTAAAGTTATTCGTTGATATTTATTATGATGACTTTGGAACATATCAAAATATCTATTATTCTTTTGGAGTTTATATACAACTTGGAAATATGCCATTTAATATTAGAAAGCACTTACGTAATTATTTCGTTTTAAAATTCAGTGGTAATTTTAATGAGTTTATTAGCCTTTTTATTTCAGATATAAAGCAACTAGAACAAGAGATAGTAATGAATGTTCAAGGCAGGGATTGTTGGGTCATTGTTAGTCTTAGATGTATTACTGCAGACCTGCCTCAAGGAAATGACCTAGCAGGAGTAAAATGACATAGTGCAATAAGGGTAAGAAATTTACAAAAATTAGCAATTTAAAGTATTAATTATTGATTGTTGAACTGTTTTTAATCTGCATTTATTTTTAAAAATTATAATTTTATACAGGGATGTAGAACTTGTTTAGTGGCTAAGGAACATGCAACAGATAATAACCTAGATATTGCTTATATCTCTCATTATCATCACATTACAAATGCATATTTTGAAGAAATTTTTGCAGCTTTAACATTTACACAATAAAATGATATTGCAAGGGAATATAATTTGCAAAATAATTATCCAATACTCAATCAGCTTCAACATAAGCGACATCTACAATCATCGCAAGATACATATCATCTAACAGCTGGTAAAATATTAAAACTACTCAAAAAAACTATTGATATATTATCATCGTATGGTAAACAAAGATTTATTAATGTTTGGAAGTCTTTTAAATATCCTTATTAATAGTCAAAGCTTCCAAACCCGAATAGCCATATTGAAAGTTTCATGATGTCAGACTCTCTTAGATTAGGAATGATAGTGCTATTTATATTAAACTGAACTCTGATAGCTGACTGTTTAAAACTATCAGAATTAACAAAACTTCAAGATTGAACAGGCTTACATCGCAATCAAGTTACTAATATGTTAATTAAATGCTGATCGATTACAGCAAAATGCTCTCAAATAGCATTTAAGTTATTGTTAACGAATAAGGATTATGAAGATATTGAAACTTTTTTAAAAAAAGAGCGAGAATTATTAACTTAGATAGGTGTCACTTTATATTTTTCTTCATCTTATTATTTGCTAACTAAATTAAGAAAAAAATATATAATAGTTATTTGACGATTTTGTGGGTTTACCTAACCTTCATGCTGATTATCATTTATTACGATATGCAAGGACTTTTGAAATACTTATAAATACTGAATATGACATAAAGGAGATGGTCTACCATATTTTTAAAAATATGGTTTCATATATTAATCGAAAGAATATTAAATTAAATCTTCTAAAGTATTATACCACTTTACAATCCATTCAGCATCTAACAGATGGTGGAATCGATATTAGAAACTTACAATCTTATACAGAATTTGTTATAATGTTAACCATTTATTTAAGGATTGGTTCATTATTAAGGAATCATTAGATTTAAATGATGAAGATTCAAAAGGTATTAATAATCTATGGATTTGAAATAACAACAAATTTTAACTTATACTAATAGTACTTTTACAGTTTTCTCACAATCTAGCTATATCTGAAATATAAGACTAAAAAAGCTAATGGTAGCTCACAATATAATTAGAACTACTGATACAACTATATTTCAAACTGACTTAGCTTTAGCTTATAAAAGCTTTATAAATTACGCATCACTAATCAATGAATCTTGTAAGTTTTATGAATATGCGTCTTACATACAAGATGATAATTATACCAGTGAAATTAAGTGTAGTCTACACAAAAATGATATCATAATGATTCAAGTGCAAGACTTTGATAAAAGTTATACAATTATCAAAGCTATTTTCAAGTATAAGGGTAATAATGAACAATATTATCCATTTATATATGTCGACTGGTTTAAAGATGTACATCAAAACTGTGATAAATTAGGATGTCTACTATTTTCTCTTTGTCATAATAATACTTGGTGCAAGGTTTTTTCTTTATCTGTTGTAGATGAAATTCAAAAGGTACATTTTATGCATAATTATTCTATATAATGCGAAGAAGGTAATCATGATTCAAATAACAATCAATATTTAAAAAATAGCTTCTTTTTTAAAACTATTTAACACATTTAGTATTTACAAATTGTATGAGATTCTTTTATAACTAACATATAATAATTATTTCAACGGTATATGTATATATGTATATATATATAATTATCATTATAGATCATTTGCGATTTTATTGGCAGATATTTTATTGGTATTTTAATATATATTAATATTGTTTTATTTGTTATTTTATTTATCATTTATTTACATTATTTATTTATTGAGATCACATTTGAATGATGAAGATAGTTTAACAAAGAACTTTACTGAAATACGTGAAATCACAACTGTGTGGCAGCTACACATTTGCTATTTATTATGGTAAGCGTATTGTTACTCTAACTTTTTCATCATATAGCGATATATATTCTATATAGAAAGTATATAGTAAAATATAGTAATAGTAAAGAATCTGTATCACTAATGCATAGAAAATGTACTGTTAATTAAAGTATTAATAAAGTAAATATATAAATTATTTAAAGTAAATCTGTAAATCATTTAAAGTATTAATAAAGTTAATGTATTATTTATTTATAAATTATGTAATACACATTTAATGTTAAAATACAGTTTATTTACAGTAAATACAGTAAATACATATTATATATTATAATAGCGTCACGGTAATTTCTATTTAAAACTTGTACAAAAATCCAACAAAAATGCTGAAACATTATTTTGACATATCTTTCTAAGAAAGAAAAAACACTATTAGCGTTAGCATTATTTAATGAAGTAAAAAATGAAATTATAAGCCTTTTACCTTAAATTCGTTATTATGTTATATGCATACTTAAATAGCTTTAAAGAAGAATGAATTTTTTAAATAACAAATATTTTCTGAATGAATATTATCACTGCATCTTGAATCACAATCGTGTATAAAATGTACCTTTCGATTTCCATTCATAACCATTAAGGAAAAAATCTTGCGCCAAGTATTATTGTAACAAAGGGAATATAGCGGACAATCCAATTTGTTGTGATTTCGATGGATGTCTTCAAATCAATTCACATATATAAATGGATAGTAATATCTATCATTACTCTTGTGCTTGAAAATTCCCTTAATTATTGCGTAACTTTTACCATAATCAGCCACTTGAATCATCACTATATTGTTCGTATTTAAATTTAATGGTATTTCATTATTTTGTACATTATGTAAGTAAGACACTTGTTTGTAAAAATTACAAGTCTTGTTAATCAATGACACGTAATATCCAAAGCTGTTATAAGCAATTGCCAAATCAGTTTGAAATGAAACTGCATCAATTTTGATTTTTGCATTTCGAATTGATAATAGCTTTCTCAGCTTTATATTTCGAATGCAACTAGATTGTGAACATACTTTGAAAACAAAATTAGTATGATATTTTTAGTTACAGTAATAAAGAAATATATTATTATTACTTTCTGATTCATCATCATCATCCACCTCTGAATTTTCCATAATAAACCAATTTTTGAATAAGCACTTAGAATCTTGAGATATATTCATAAAATCAGCATTAGATTGTAAGTTTCAAGGGTCAATTCCTCCATCTGCAAGATGTCGAATGGACTGTAGAGTTGTATACTGTTTTAACAAATCAAAATCAACATTCTTGCGATTCGTATGTGGAACTAAATTTTTAAAGATCTTATGAAACATCTCTTTCATTCCAACTTCGATATTTGTAAGGGTTCTGAAGATTCTTGCATGTTGTAGTAAATGGTAATTGGCGTGAAGATTAGGAAGGCTTACAAATTCATCAAATAGCTGCATTTAATATAATATAGTTACTATTTAACTGAAAAACTAAGTATAAGAATATAGTTAACATTAATAAACAATATATTATGTAATTAGTAAAATAAAAATAAATCAACATACTTACTTCAAATTAAATATATATACTTCTGTATTACATGTTAGTTAGTCTATTTTACAATGTAGATATAAAACCTTACTTTAGTCAATACTTGTTGTTCTTATTTCAAATACTTTTCAAGCTCTTTGTAATTGTCTTCAGTTAATGAAATCTTAAATATTAGCTGAACACATTTTGCTTTGATTGCTCAGCATTTAATGATAGCATTGACAACTTGATTGCGATGAAAGTTTGTTTTTTCTTGTATTTTTGCTAATTCTTATGATTTTAAACAATTAATAGTTAAGAATCTATTTAGTATAAATGGCATCACCATTCCCAGTCACAGGCAGTCTGACATCATGAAACTTTCTATATAGCTAATAGGATTTGGACGCTTTGACCATTGATGAGGATATTCAAATGATTTCCAAACGTTAATAAAATTCTGTTCGCCTTCTGGGGATAGCATTGCAATTGTTAGTTTAAGTAACTTTAACATTTTTCCAGCTACTAGATGGTAAGGATCCTGTGGTGACTGTAGATGACGTTCTTGTTGAAGCTGATCAAGAATTGGCAAACGTGCTTGTAAACCATATTCTTTCGCAATGTTATTTTGTTGTTAAAGAGTTGAAGCTGCAAAAATTTCATCAAATTGAGTGTTGGTAATGTGATGATAACGGGAGATACTAGTAATATCTAGTATATCATCTATTGCATTTTCTTTCAAAATATGACACATTCTACACCCCTTGATCACATTATGTCATTTTACTCCTGCAAGGTCATTGTCTTATGGGAAGTCCGCAGTTACACATCTAATGCTAGCAACAATCCAGCAATTTTCCCTTATATTTTCATCACCACTCCTTGTTCCAATTGTTTCATGTCTGAGATAAATGGTTGAATGAAATCATCGAAGTTACCTACAAAGGGAACGAAGCCTAAGACGAAATGGTTGCAAAGATGATTTCTCATATTAAATGGCATATTTCTTAGTTGAATATAGACTCCGCCTAACGAATGGTAAACATTTCGATAGGTTCCAAAGTCATCGTAGTAGATATCAATAAATAACTTTAAAACCTGAAGATGATTATATTATGGCGGAGACAAGGTTAGGATAGTATATTCGCCTGGATGCATGTAATCTAAAATTATGTCTCGTAATTTCCAATAGCCATTATTTTTGTATAAAACTTCTTTAATATAAAGCCCATTAGTATTATTTGAATCACAGATAATTGAAACATTAACATTTCTAATGAACTCACAAGTGTTTACAATAATGTAATCCTCTTCTAAATGTTAGTCTGTTAGCCATAATTGGAATTCACGCATAGTTGATCATGCATCACAATGAAAATGGTTCGGTAATTCATTATAAGTATAAATTCATTGCACTTTTATTCAAAGTTCATCATTAACGGATATTATTGATCGTATTCGTCCAAATCTTCAACTATCATTTTCATTGTATATAATAA